AATTGGTTGAGCCTAATTGGATCTCAAAAAAAACGGTACAATTTAATAAGGAAATACGTCAGCTAAAAGCAGATATTTTGAAAAATTGCAATCTAGGTACGCTTCGTCGTAATTTCACGGTCAATCAATGACTTTTCTCACCTCATTTGACTTCTTTACTAACGGAGTCTTACAGAGTTTAGAAATTTTCCGAGATTTACAGAGGTCTTCGTCATGAGCAAATCTCTTTAATACGCATATTGTCGTTGTGATACCGCAAAAAATACGAAAGATTTTTCCTTTAAGACGAAACGTCCATTATGAGTTTGTTCTGATTATGACCAGATTCCATTGTTATACATTAAAAGTCAAATCAGCGGGTAAAAGTCGATTCCTAGTATGTTGCAACCCGGTAAACTCTATAATTCTCTTTCCAGATACCGCTTGGGCACCATTCACATGAGCCCGGCCGTGCTAAGTAAAAACGCCGTATGAACATTCGAATGTTGCCAAATTTCTTCTCGAAAAATACTTATTTTTGAAGAAAGTTATGAATTTTTTTCCTAGCAATTTTCAGACTTTGTAGATCAAATTACGAGCAAAATTCTCTAAAAAATCGGAGGAGAAATATTCATAAATTTTCCTGAGAATTCGTGATTTGTCAAAGGAAATTTGGCAACGCCTGGTGGCTCATACGGCGTTCTTCCTTAGCACGGCAGAGCATGCCTGCAGTTCGTTGAAACCAGATAATGAGCAATGATGTGAATATCAATCGGCCTGTGACGTACCGGCTTCCGAATGGGTGCGTCGGCGGAACTTTCTCAGGGAAACGCGCCTTGAATGAGCGATTCAGCTCGGCCGACCGTTTTATTACCGAGTGTTGATGGGTAATTAATCCGATTTCATAATAAGGATTTGAGACTCTGATTGTGAGTCAGTTCAAATTGTCACCAAATTGTATTTTAAACGATGCAGAATATTAATATGAGGCTCGGTTAAATATGAAACCTCCACTTTCAATGTAATCGACGCAGTCTGAAGGGGTGACAGCTCAGTTGCTTTGCATTGCATCGCATCGCTGCAAAATTTCATTCGAGAATGTCTGCAGGGACTAAAAAATGGTTGCAAATTTTCTACTGGCATTTCGCCGTCCTTCTGACATTAAGGCGTATCTTAATTCCCACGTGAACCCTGCTCTCCGTATAATTCCATGCTTTTTAGAGCTCACGTGTAAATAGAGATACGTCCTTACGTCAGAGGGACGAAGATTTGTGAATAGTTTCCTTCGTGATTTGACTGAAATTTTCTGAAATTTTCTTTGCGGAACATATAATTCTTGCTGAATGAAAAAATGAGTTGTCTTGTCTGGTGAGACTTTGGAATAGTGCAGTGTAAATAAGCCCCTCTGACTCTAATTTCTTTATAGTATTTAATAGAGAGCAGTTAATATCATCAACCACGCCAAAGGAATATCATAGTTCAACCTCCACACATCATATCTAGTTAATGACCCACGAGACTGAACTCGAAAACTATTAAGAAATCTATCTCTCCTTAACGATATAGCTATAGGTGGAATAAACGATGATATGTACTTAACAAATTGATGACGTCATTCATGGTGTCTCAAAGCAAAGTACCTCTAATTATTGATTAAAGATACTAATAATCAAGGTAAATATGATTTTTATAACGAATGCAGCTCATGACCGTCAAAATACGGATCTAAGCCTGGCACCTAGGACTTTTTTCCTCTCTTTTTGGACGACGAAATGGGTATAAACAAAAAGAGGAAATTGTCACCGAAACTTTCGTATTTACGTTATTAAGTGAGACACGTTACTAAGTGATACGCTCTACATTATTTTTGACCCACTTGGCAGCCACGTTGAAGAATGCGCACGCAACGACTACCGCAAAGCCCTACAAGAAGTTAAGTTGAGGTGTGAGGAGAGCTTTTGGTGCGTCGGTCTCTTCCGATTTCGTCACGAGTTTGTCGGTTCATTCATATGACTTTAGGGTTGTAGCGGATTGCTCAGTCAGTATAATGAACTAAACCAAGTCGTGCTGATGTGAAGGAAGTGTTACGTGAAAAAGACCACGAACTGAAAATTTCAAGCAAAGTGTTGCGGGATATTGAAACGCACCTTTAAACAGTTTCGTGAACATTATGGTGTGAGAAGCTTCGAATTTTGAGATCTCGGATTGGCAGAAAATACCAGAGATTTGCACATCATTAATCGCATTTATTTTGCGAAAATAGTAGAAATTAATGGAGCTTTCCTTATTTAGCTTTTTTTTTTCTACATAAACAAAAAGTATCTCAAATTAATCTAGGGATATTTTTGTGTGTACATGACCATGCTAAAACAGAATTAAAGCATACATTTTTTAACCTTGCATTATGAGCAATTTCATGAATGTCTGTTGCCCGTCTCAAGTTATATTATATAAAATTAGCCCTAAAAAATTGAAGCCCTTGATATATATTTTCAAATTTTACAATTGTCACTTACATTTTAATTGATTCACCAGAATAGAGACATTTTCCAAATTCACACTATCAAAGTCATGAGAGGCGTAAGAGTTTGACACCTGATAACCAGCTCGTATCATCAAAGGCTTTAGTATGCAAACAATTCTGAATGTTTTTTGAAAGTGATCTTGTTTGTGATACGTTCAGTAAAATTTCTCTGTCACCGAGTTCTGAGTGTCCACGATGTCCAGAAAAAGATGGAAACTTCTGCACGTATTTTCACTGATATGAAAAAAAGATTGGGGAGAAGAATAAAAAAGAGAGTTTTTATATCATTTTTCAACTCGTCACGGTTGCAATTTTAGGAAAAATACTCTGTCTGTATATGATTTATCGCTGTATTAAGGAAGGCAAAAACCGCGCTGCAAATCTCACCCAGGAACTTGATCCATATGATGTGGTTGTTTTTTCTTCTCCATCGTTAAAGTCCTTTTTTACTCGCCAGTCGCCATTTGCTGAAACTTTGGAAAATTGATTCCTTAGACATAATTTTTCTTAAAAAATACTTCTCATGAGTTTGATAGTGAATAAATTATGACCCTTTCCTCTCCTCGACTCTCTTTCTTCTCTTCTCTCTCTTCCTCCTTTACTCTCTCTCTCGGCGAAAATCGGGTTCATTCATTTTGGGTACTTGAAAATCATGTTAAATCAAAGTAATTTAAATCAGAAAGAAGCGGGTATATTCAATTTCTTTTTAGCCAATTTTGGAAAGTGTTAGCACATACTTGATCCCTGAAAGTAACTTTTGTATCATTTGCAAATGAGGGATGTTCGCTGTTTCATTTAGGATGTTACCTCGATTTTTAGGCTCAATGATATTCCTAGATTGAAGATCGTATAGTGCAGCCCCTATCTTCCGTATGAATATAAATTGATCTGCACTACTTTTTATGCAAATGCTTTCAGACTGAAGGCATGTAATTAAGGCATGTTTCCGTCGGGGTGGGTGACACCGCCAGCAGCGGCGAGGTGGTGACGCGACGTTGCGAACTCCCGCTTGTTCTTCCTCGTCAAAGGCGGAAAGAGAATCGGCGTCCTTGCTCCGTCCATGCTTCCAGCATGTTCCACGTGCGTGGCATTCCTTCGCCACTTTTTTGACCGGAGCACTCTCGATTTCGAATCATGTTGAAAGTAAATGCATTTCTAGCATTTCTTGATTAGATTTTGTAGTCGTCACGATGCATTAAATTGAGAGTTTTTTTTATTATTTATTTTATTTTTTGTCTTATGCAGGAAGAGAAAGCATTGACGAAAGGGAAAAAATATTTAAGTGAACTCATTTTGTAACCTATTTAAAGACGTAAACAATGACAAAAATATGTTGGAATTTTTTCCGACATATTTTGAAAAATGTCAATATAGAGAGAAAAAGCTCATATGAGCACAAGTTTCCAGCTGAAAGAGATACGTTGTTTGATGCAAAACTTTTCCCTCCGTATTGAGATTGTCAGCTTTATGCTGATTCTTAACGCATTAAGTTGGCTAGAAAATTCCAACTTACTGTCTTACGACCCGTGCGTCAATGCACTGCTTTGAATAAATATTTGAGATATTTGTTTATTACTTGCAAATTTTTGAGAGAAAATCCTTCAATTTTATAAATATCATATTACAGTAAAACATCAGAATTTTCGAGAAGATCGTTTAGATTACCGAAAAAAAAGATCGATGAAAAATAATCAGTGGTGATTCTAGCAAGTTAGCATGCAACGAGCTTCTTTTCCACATTCAAATACACGAAGAACCTTTGATTCTAAGTGAAGCTCGCCTTCCGTGAAATTAATATTTATACTGGATTTAAATGCTGGAGGAAAACGGTGTTATTGAAAGACACGTCATTGAAACCAATAGCAGCTATTGATGCGTTTCAGCAGCTTTTGGAGGAACTCAAGTATTTATCATGACAAGCGTTAGAAAATATGAAGCAACAGCATACAGCTTCCTCGTTTTTCAAAACTGTAGACTGGTATTATTTGTTTATTCCAACAGTGCCCACTCATTTTTATGCGATGAATTTTAGCTACTGTTCCTAATAAGTGCGTTCATGCCAAAATCTTTCCATTTAATTATGGACCTTGCTGCCTTCCCCCAAAATGACAAACTTCGAAAAAATATTTTCCTAAAAAAGGGAAGAATTTTTGGCAAAATTGCTCCTTTTTTCGAAATAGCGCGAGAGGGGGGCTTACAGCTTTGAAAAGCATCCCATTAGCCCAGCAACGAAGCCCCCTTTCGCCTCCCCCCAGCTCACCTGCGCCGCGCGCCAAGAATTCGAGACGTCCCCCGCTGCGCTATTCGGGGGCCCGCCCGCACCCCCGCCCGCCGCGACGGCCCCCACCGTCCTGGGAAGATTCCCGAGCGTCGGCCGGGACTCAAAAGGACCGCCTCGGGGGGCGCATCCTCAAAAAATATCCCCCGAATTGAATTTCGCACAATCGCCCCCGTCGACCGGCGTCAAGAGCCGAGCGTAACCTTGGAGCCGTGGGCCGGCGGTGGCAGTCAGTCGACGGCAGCTCTCCAACTTGGTCCAAGCTCCCAAGTATATAACTCATTCCGTGTTCCCGCGCCCGTTCAAACGCACACTCCGTAACGCGCTTCGACATGGCTTTGCGATTTGCGGTGAGTCGTCTCTTTTTTTCCTTAGGGGTTGAGATTCTAGGGGTACAGGGGTGGGAGCTGTTAATTTTCCGTGCGGTTCAGTTTTCCACACTTTTCCGGGGGAAAAAAACCAGTTTATGGCTGGGTCTTAGAATGGCATCACCTAGAGTTCGGATATGTGTCACGCACAGTCGTCTCTTTTTTTCCTTAGGGGTTGAGATTCTAGGGGTGCAGGGGTGGGAGCTGTTAATTTTCCTTGCGGTTCAGTTTTGCACACTTTTCCAGGAAAAAAAAACAGTTTAGGGCTGGGTCTTAGAATGGCATCACCTAGAGTTCGGACAAGTGTCACGCACGGTCGTCTTTTTTTTCCCTTAGGGGTTGAGATTCTAGGGGTGCAAGGGTGGGAGCCGTTCATTTTCCGCGCAGTTCAGTTTTGCGCACTTTTCCCGAAAAAAAAAAAAAAAACAGTTTAGGGTCTTAATGGCATCACCTAGATTTCAGATAGGTATCACGCACTCTATCCTTGTAGGACTAGTTTAGTCCAGACAGGGCAGGTATTGGGGGCCTACCAAAAATCAAGTTGATGCCGTTTGCCGTACCTCTCTTGGCATGAGGACTAGGCCGTTTTTTTCCTGGAGGTTTTTTTGCACGATTTGACAGCAGTGAGATGCTTGTTTGATTCTTATTGATCTAATTTGATGCATGTTCATACAAATTTGAATGTATTCTACGAGCTTTGACGGAATTATGTGTAAGTTTAGAGATGTCTTATCAATGTTCAAGGGAATACGATCAAGTTTTTCTTTGCTATTTTTTTAGACGGATGATAATCCTTATATCGCGAATTCCTAATAACGTTTCAATGATATTTCGATCGAGTTGATCCATTTTGATGAAATGCATGTTCAACATGGGAGAAATGTTAATGGGAATAAATGTATGAAAGTTCAAAAGTTTTTACATGCATTTGGTTTGGTTTTTCTTTATTTCATGCAATTAAAAAGGAATGCATATGATTTTTCAGTTCATATGTAAGACCCATGTTTCTCCAACTTCACTATTAATCTGTTGTGCAGACACTTTGCTGTTTCACCTGATTCGAGATCTAAACTGAAGTTTTTTTAGAAAAAAAAGATTTCGTCAAGTAGTATCCATAAATAATAGGATTACACCTAAGTCACATTTTGTGCGCAAACTCTGGATTTCTTTGTATTGTTCTGTATTGCTGGAAATGTTGGTAGATACTTAGTCTGTACATGCACGCGTCGAATTTGACACTGAACCTCCTTTTTAGCTCGATCGGTTTAAGCCTAACTTTTGTCCGCAATCTCTAGAACTAAACGACTTATCAAACCAGACACTGCCATCAACCAATACCACACGTACACAACAAAATTGGGGGATTCTAATTTCTATTTTGAGAAAAATAACATTTTTTTGGGAGAAGGAATGTAAATACAAAGACAACTCCGGAAAAATACTAAAATTTTGGGACCCTCTTGAATTTCTATATCTGTTGAACGAATCTAAACTTTTTCAAGATCTATCTGAGGACAACGGTAGAAAATATGTTTGTAAATCGGTTCTAATTTTGACGGATTTAACTTGTGACCTCAAACGACAGCCTCCTCATCACATCCTAAATTTTCCGCTTTTCCGTTAGTTCTGAAAGTACAAGGAACATTTCACAAACAGAGCTCAATGTTGTCATTTACAAATTCTCAAAAGCACTCTGGAAAAAGACGGGTTAGAACATAGAGATATATGAAACCGGGTTGTTGGAATGAGGAGATACTTGCAAAATAACTCATTTGCATACGCCCCACCCTCTATATACACCACTGGAAGCAAATATCGACTGTCCCCCATGAACGGGTTTGTCTCCATTTTTCATACTAGTGAGCTTTTGCTCTCATTTATGTTCAAGCTTAAGTGTTTTTTTGTGAGAGACAATGATTTTTCCCAACTCATTGTGAAAAAATCTAAGTTAGCTTCTTAATTGATGGTTGCAGTTGGGCAAAATGTTGAATACTTTTTCAACATGTAATTGACAATGGTTTTGCCAAATGGAGTAAAACAAAGGGGAATTTTGTTCAGGTTTACAAGTCAAAGTTGTCAAGTGTTTTGGAATTACTATGGCCCAAAAAGATTTTAAAAATGTCGTGAAAGCAAAGGTTGTCGAAAATGCGTCTAACGACGAGAATAAACATTGAAGGGCACTCTCTACAATAACTTTCTTGAGTAACTCATCGGGAGTGACATTTCTTGAAAATGTCGGGCAAGATTCAGGTTTATATTTCCGGAATTTCAAGCTACATAGCAGTTAAGACGGAGAGCTTTCATACGTGTTTCATAACTTCAGTTCAGAATGATATTTATCGACTTTTTTTATCATAGTCTTTGATGCTTCCAGCCTTGACCCATCTTGATCAAGTAACACTGCTGGAAAAGGTCAAAGAGCTTAAAGAAGAGATTATACATCTTCCGTCGCGCCTCTTCACATTCAGTCCCAAGCTCCTCCCCCCTCCCCCTCCCAAAAAAAACTACTTATTTGTTCATCATATCTGAGAACTGAAACTTTTTAATCGTCCTCTTCAATGCATTTTCAAACTCTGAGAATAATTTATTTTCCTGGAAAACTATAGACTAAACGTCGCAAGAACGATGATTTGAACATAGCGTAAGAGAATGGTGAAAGGCACCCTCTAACTGTTTATCTATGTCCCTTTGCCTTTACCCGCAAGCTTGTATGTTTCGATTGCATTCGATTTTCATATCTGAGAATTGATCGCGCTACATCATTCTTTCGACCATGTCTATATAATATTTAACCGTGAACTCATTTACGAATGCTCTAAAAGTGACGTATGTATCCTGAAAAAGTACAACTTTCACATACTGAATATTAGCTTTTCTTACCCAGTTTCATTTAATGTCGGTGATCCCATAAGAAGATCACTGTTTTTGTGCGTATAGTCCCATCATCAGATCAGAAAGGTGAAACAGTTCTACTAACGATATGAGAGTGATTGTTGAGGAAAAGCAACTTTTCAACTTTAAAAGGATCTTTCCCCGACTTTCTGACGTAAAGATGCCGCCGTTACCACAGGTATCTGAAATTGAAGGAACCTGGTAGAAAAGTTACTAGATTTACCATTATACTGCCGTGCTATGCAAGAACGCCGTTAATCCATAAAGATTTTCCCTCATTTTTTGGAATTGAACACTTTATAAAATAAAAACTTTTTCACCCATGCACCTCAAATTTTCAGGTCAAGTTCTTGATAGTATTTGTGAAAAAATTCTGTAAAAATATTGTTCCAAGGATCACAAGTTTTTCTGCTGTGATACATTGTTTCCAAAAAATGTAAAAAGGCGTTTACGGCGTTTTTGCGTTGCACGGCAGTATAGTCGTTAGATTGGTGTTTAATTAATATAAATTAATTGATCAACGCTCACATGAAGTTATTCAAAGAAAACAAAAAAGGATAAATGAGTGGATTCAAACGGTTCATCCGTCGATAGTTGCGTCTAACCCTTCGTGTCCGCCGCAATACCGTCGTTTTACGTTCGAATCCGAGAAAAAAAGAGGGGAAAACTGATTCTCGATCAAAACAAAACCAAAATACGGAGAGAGCAAGTATTTCATCGAGTACGTGCGGCCTTCAGCCCGCGTTTGGTTTTGACTTCGGAGAAATATCGGTGCACGTTGCCAGACATTGGTTGGGATTCTCAACTTGGAAATAGTCGATCCATAATAAGACAAATTGCATTTCTTCTCGTCAAGTGGCAACGCCGGATGGATTTCGTATCGAAGCGATCTCGTTCGGAATCAGAGTCACCAACACCACGTTGCGGCGATGGCAACCGATGACCGCATTATTTCAAGCAAATCGTTGCAATGATGCGCGGTTGCCATTTTAGCACGAATATTGCGTGTTTTTGTTGCATAATAGAAAAGGAATTAGTGTTGTATGTTGAGGGAAACCTAAGACTTCTTATGATGAATCGAGGATAGTACCTTATGTGTGCGGTCATCGCGTGTTCCGAGAATTACGGAGTGCACAACTGCTAACTCGTGTTTCTTTGAGAATTCTACCAAATATTTAGCGTTTTACCAGTCATAAAGCAATTACTCTTCATGAATAGTCCGATGAAATGTTTAGTAATCTCTACAATAATTATTACTAGTATCCAAAAACTAACGAAGTTAAAACAAAAAAGTAAGAAATTGTCGTAGACAAAATATTTCCGAAATTTTTCCGTCACAAAAAGAGCAACCTTTGCCAGAGCTGGTTATACGTCTGACAAACTCCCTAAACCAGAAGTGCTCCTTGTGTGGGGGTGACTTATTACCTCAAGCGCGTTACCATGTTGTGACGTAGATAAAAAGTACTGGTAGTAGGTAAAATCCGAGGTACTAGCTTTGAAAATTCATTGCGGCGTTTACAAAGCGTCTAAAAATTCTACAAAATTTTTTCCCATCTATCTCCAGAGTTTTAGAATAGTCAAATTCCTTGCTCCCAATGAGGGAATTTTCTCTTGGCGGGAAGAAGAGAAGGATCGTCGTGGACTTTTCACTGGAAAAATCAAACTTTTTTTCAATCGGAAATAAAATTGCTGGACTCAAGGTATCTTTTGATTTAAACATGTTTTTCTCTTTAATTTTTCCTCTAATCAAAAAAAAATATTTTTAAGAGTAAATGTAAGAGTATTTCTGCTTAAATCAAACTACTTTTTTACCACTGGTTACCACAATTTGCCGTCAAATTTTACAAGCATAAAAATTAAGAAGTTTGGTCCGCATCAAAAAGTATTGATTACACGGAATTAGAGCTGTTGCCATGGTGACGGCACCTGGCGGCAACTTCAGCAATGAATTAATTGCGTAATTACGCGTATTCGCCGTCAACCTGTTTGGGCGACGCAGCTGTTCACACATCTATTGACGCAGCATCAAATCCGTTGATTTTATGCCATTGATAGACATGTTGCCAGGTTCATTATATTAAAATAGTTTT